CCAAAAGGTTAGACCCAGTTGCAGCGGGCTGGCCCCCATGCCTGCAGATCATAGCGGCAGTTGACCTAATGGTAAAGGACGCAGATAAGCTCACTTTTGGGCAACATCTGAAGGTGGTAACCCCCCATGCAGTAGAGGGAGTCCTAAAGCACCCTCCAGGTAGATGGATGACCAACGTCCAACTGACTCATTACCAAGGGCTCTTGCTGGATGCTCTCCGAATCCTCTTCTCCAACCCAGTCTCTCTAAATCTGGCCACCTTGCTGCCAAATCCGGACCTGGAAGCCCCTCTACATGACTGTCAGGAGATTATAGCTGAAATCACCCAAGTGTGCCCTGATCTCCAGGACTCAACCCTAACCAACAGTGAACTGGTATGGTATACAGATGGGAGTAGTTTCGTCTTGGATGGGGTGCGTAAGGCGGGCACAGCGGTGGTGGACCAAGGTGGGAACATAATTTGGAGTGCCCCGCTGCCCCCGGGGACCTCAGCCCAGAAGGCCAAACTGATCGCGCTGACAGAGGCACTCGAGCGGGCTGAGGGAAAACGAGTGACTGTTTATACCGACAGCCGTTATGCTTTCGGCACTGTCCATGTACATGGCACCATCTACCGGGAAAGGGGTTTCATTACAGCGGAAGGAAAGGAGCTACATAACCTCCCGGAGATCCAGAGACTACTGACTGTGGTACAGAAGCCCCAAGCTGTGGCAGTAGTACATGTTCCTGGTCACCAATCTGCCCAGACTCCAGAAGCTACGGGGAGCCAGCATGCAGACATAGCGGCCCGAAATGCTGCTTTGGCCCCCACAACCCTAGCGCTGACCTTACCCGTGCCCAAGCTTCCATGCTTGCCACCGCGACCCGAGTACACCCTGGAAGACAAACAATGGATCCAAGATCACCGGTGCCCAGAGCCCAATCAGCAAGGCTGGTATCGTGATATCGAAGGGCGACTGATCCTTCCTGAAAAGTTAGTACTGTTTCTCTTCTCCAGTTTACATCGAGCCAACCATTTAGGCAAGAAGAAACTACTCGGCCTCCTCAAGTCGGCCCGCCTCCGGTTCCCGCATCAAACAGCCCACGTTCAAAAGATTGTGGACCAATGTGCCGGGTGCCAGGCTATGAAACCCAGCAAAAAGGGACTCCTACATACAGGTACATGGGTACGGGGGAGGGTGCCAGGACAGAGCTGGGAAGTGGATTTCACTGAGGTGAAGCCAGGAAGGTATGGGTATAGGTATTTGTTGGTTCTGATAGACACCTTCTCAGGCTGCGTGGAAGCCTTTCCTACAAAACGAGAGACTGCTCAGGTTGTAGCTAAGGTTTTGCTGGAGGAAATCATACCCAGTATGGCATCCCCAAAACTCTAGGCTCTGATAATGGTCCGGCTTTCATCAGTAACATCCTACAAGGGCTGGCCCAGGCAGTGGGGACTAATGGGAAGCTGCATTGTGAATATAACCCCCAGAGGTCAGGGCAGGTAGAAAGAATGAATCGGACCCTGAAGGAGACCTTATCTAAATTAGCCATCGAGACTGGCGGAGACTGGGTGGCCCTCCTACCTTATGCCATCTTCCGGGTTCGAAATTCACCATATGTACATGGATTGACACCTTTTGAAATTCTATATGGGGCTCCGCCCCCCATTATTGTCCGAACCCTACCGGACCAAGACCCCAGTATGGCCCCAAATTACTTGGCCAACTTAAAAGCCCTACAGGAGGTCCAACATGAAATCTGGCCCATAGTGCGTGCCTTGTATGAGACAAAGGACACATCGAACCCGGAATATGGCATCGTCCCAGGGAATTGGGTATGGGTAAAGAGGCACAGAGCCCGCACTCTGGAAGAAAGATGGAAAGGCCCTTACCTGGTCATTTTGGTTACCCCCACTGCTCTTAAGGTTGACGGCATCGGGCCTTGGGTCCATCACTCCCATGTGCGTCAAGCCAATCATCAGGAACAGAAAAAGGCTAGAGAGTGGACCGCACGGCGGCACCCAGACAACCCATTGAAGCTGAAGCTTTTGCGGCCCTGGGAACATGCAGAGTCTTCAGGAGCAGCCACGGATGGGTTGGCTGGTCACTCTGATCTTGCTCAATGCCCAGAGCAGGAGCCTCACAGAAACCAATCCTCACCAGCCCTATAAGCAAACCTGGATACTCACCGATGGGGAGACTCATACCACCCTTAACAAGACTACTCGCACTGCCCCCATAGGAACTTGGTGGCCGGAGCTTCAATTCTGCTTCAGAGACATCAATCCTGCCTACAAGTCTACTGCCCTGGAGTCAGCCTGATGTTATGGTTTTTATGCTTGCCCTGGCCACAAAAAGAACAAGGACTGTGGGGGGATACAATACTCCTTCTGTAAGTCATGGGCATGTGTCACATCCAACGATGGTGAATGGAAGTGGGGGATATCAAAACCGGACCTAGTCAAATGTGCCTTTGTAAACGGGATATCCTGGGGGCACAGAATTCCGTCACCCACCCATAAATGCCAGCCCACAGATACAGATAGAATCAAGGTCACCTTCACTGACAGTGGCAAAGAGGACACCCCTGGGTGGATACAAAGTAAGGTGTGGGGACTTGTGTTTTATAAATATGGTGGACATTCTGGCTCGACCATAGTAATCAGATTAAAAGTTGAGCCCATGGGGCCACCGTCCAAAATGGTAGGCCCCAACAAAGTACTTAAGCCACCCTATGTAGAGCCACCTCTCCGACCTCGCACAACCCCAGTCCCTACCCAGCCTCACACAAAGGCTAGTATTAAAACTCCAGGACCATTAGGCACCGGCCCTCCCTTGGTGAAGCCCAGTCTCATGACCAGGTCCACAGACCCCCTCTGGAATCTGGTAAATGCTGCATTCCTAACATTGAACCACACCAACCCTAATATGACTACCTCCTGCTGGCTGTGCTATGATGTGAGGCCCCCATTCTATGAGGCAATAGGGCTAAATGTCACCTACGATATCTCAACTAGTGAAAACCCCACCCAATGTTCCTGGGGAGACCGTAAGAGAGGTCTGACCATACAACAAGTGAGCAGCCAAGGAACCTGCTTAGGGAAGGTGCCAGTGGGAAAACAGGACCTATGTGCTGTTGTAAAAGACAACCCCACCTGGGGCGATGGTATTAAGTGGGTAATTCCAAAAGGCAATGGATGGTGGATATGCTCACAGTCCGGGCTCACCCCTTGCCTATCAACTAATGTGTTTAACGGCTCTAAAGAATTCTGTGTCCTAGTGGCTGTGCTGCCCCGCATCCTCTATCATTCTGAGGAGAGCCTATATTCATACTGGAATACAGGAACAGGTGAGAGAAAGAAGAGAGAGCCTATTTCTGCATTAACCATTGCTACCCTACTTAGCCTAGGGGTGGCTGGGGCAGGAACTGGCATAGCCTCCCTGGCTACTCAACATAAAGGGATGTCCTCGCTGCGCGGCCATAGACGAGGATATAGAGAGGATAGAAGCCTCCATTAGTCACCTAGAAAAATCCCTTACCTCTCTATCTGAGGTAGTGCTTCAAAACCGACGGGGCCTAGACTTGTTGTTCCTCCAACAGGGGGGACTATGTGCAGCCCTAGGGGAGGAATGTTGTTTTTATGCTGATTATTCAGGGGTAGTTAGGGATTCTATGGCTAAAGTGAGGGAAGGACTGGCAAAAAGGAAATGAGAAAGGGAAGCCCAAGAAAATTGGTTCGAAGCTTGGTTCAATAGGTCCCCCTGGTTCACTACCTTGGTCTCTACCCTGGTGGGCCCTCTGGTCATACTACTGCTTATCTTAACCTTTGGTCCTTGTATTCTGAATAAGCTAGTGACCTTCGTGAAAGATTGAGTTAGTACAGTCCAACTAATGGTCCTGAGACAGCAATATGAAAAGTTACCTAGCCCTGAGGATGTTTACACTCATTGCCCAGATGAGCATGATTCCTCATTATGAACAACTAAAGGGGGGAATGTTAGGGTACAAACGTTAGGGTACCTTTGAGGCTTGCAGCCCACTCAGCCTGAAACCCACCATGGCTAACATGACCCAAGCCACCACTTACTGGAACAAAGGGAGGTGGGACGGTTTCTGGGAACACGGACTGTTTCTGGTTAATCTTGCTAAAACGGTATGTGAGTCAATGAGTTGAGACACCTGGTGTTTACCAAATTCCTGATAAATAATCTTCAAGTAATCTGGCCCCACCACCAGGAAGTGGGAGATATCAGAAATATGTGACCCCAGGGATCATAAAAATTGCTGTGTAACCGTGACTAATGTCTAAAAAAATATAAAAGCAGCCTGAGTTTTGTATTCGGGGTCCGTGTTGAAACCCACTGCGTTGGGCAGATACCCAGACCCCAGCTGGCTGGAAATAAACCTCGCTTTGTGACTTACATTATCGTGAGTGTCTTTTTGTTCCTCTGAGGGGTGGTCAACTCTGGACCCCAACAAAAAGTCATACTGAGCAGTCACAAGACTCATACAATGACCTTATTTAAATATTACCACCCTGAAATACCACCTGATGTGTGGGAAGCCTAGAACTCAGTGAGGTTACAGAGCTTGTGAAGGATGGTAGCTAATAAAAGCAGAACAGAGATTGGACTTCCTCATGTCAGGAAAGACCCTGCATTGCTCCTCTTCTCAGATCACAATGAGCAACTTAGAAAAGTGGCAGCAGCAGAAACACAGGAGTAGCTCTGAGACAGAAACTGGAGTCACAGCATAGGGGGTGACCCAGATCTATGTGATCACAGGAAACTTTAAAACAGTATCTCATAGTCATAATTGATTTCCTAGGGGGCATAGGTATTTGTAGAAACATCACAGGGACACCCCCCATGACCCTTGCTGAAAGAGAAAACATGGAATAAATGAAAAGCCAGTGTAGAAAGAGAAACCTGAAGTCTTGGCCTAGGGACAAAAACCTGGCACTCATGAGTAAACCAGGTCTCTATGGACTGTGTGGAATCTATAAGTCAGGGAGCTTCTCACTCACTCCACTCCACTGCAGCAGGGCTCTTCAGGATTGGGTGCTCCACCTGGCAGGTGTAAACCTCTCCACTCTGAGGAACTGTTTCCAACATCACCAGGGTCTGGAAGGTCCAGTCTCCATTCTGCAGCAGGCCTGTGGACAAAACTCCAGCCTCCTCCTCATGGCCATTCCAGAACCATCTGATTTCAATGTGGCCTGGGTAGAACCCACTCATTGAGCAGACCAGGAGGTTGTGGTCCTGCAGGGTGCTATGCACCAGTTTGAAGTGTTGCAGGCTGGTGTAGAGGGTCCTTGCCTTCACAGGCCAAGGAACTGGCTTGTGAAGCAGCTGAACGATTGGCCAAGGCCAGTGTATTTAGTCGGATTTATTAGAGAGAAAAGAAAGGCTACAGTGAGAGTGTGCAGTGGAGCCCAGAAGCCAGTAGCTCGCTGCTCAGGTGAAAGCTGGGGCTTTTATGGATGTTTTAGTTCTGGATTAGGTGATTTTTTTTATCATTGGCTGTGGATTTGTGGGCTTTTCTAGGTGAACTGGTTTGGTTTGCACATTTATTGGGGGAGGGGAACAATTTGAGAGCATTTTGCTCATCAGCCTTGTCACAGATCTATCAGGCCTGTATCTCCTCTTCAGAGTATAGGAGTGCAGGTTTATAACCCTTTCTCAGGATGCAGGAATGCAGGCCTTCAACTTCTCAGGATGCAAGAATGATATGGCTCTCCATGGGGGGATGGGATGCTCATTCATCTGCCTTAGGTCTCCAGACCCAACAAGGGGGAGGGTCTTTGTGAAGCACATGGTCACCCAGGTGCAACTAGGGGAGAAAAAGACAAAGAAATTAAGTCAGGAAGGCAGAGTAATCCTGCTTGGTCAGCTGCCTCACTGTCTCTGTACAAGCCCAGGCTCAATTCCTTACCAGCTTCAGTCAAAGTGTCCCTAGGAATTCAAGAAATTAAAAAATTCTTTTTCAGCTCCAGCTCTCTACTGGAAATTCCATGCTGGCAGTAAAAATGGCCTAGCCAAACCTCTGAAGCAAGGAGAAAAATTATGTTCCAAAATCACTGGTTAACTGGGGCCCAGAAATATACTTACATATGTATATTTCCTGAGTTCTATTTCAGCTTTCCTAGCACTGGTCTGTGCTAGGCAAGATAGACTGAGAATTTCTTTCTCCCCAGTTTTGGCCAACACTGTAAATATATTCATTTTTCATTTATACACACATACATTATGACATTTTGTCTTAAAATGCTGAACATTTGGACCCAGAGCCAAACCCTACCATTGGTTGGAGGAGTTTTGGGGCTTAAGGCCTAAATTCTTGGGTTTCAAAAGGTCAGAACTGACCGGTTGCTCCAACATGTCCCAATATGCACAATAGAGCAACAAGATGTCAGAGAAAAGAAATTTAATTGACAGGGCATGGGCAGAATGATGGAAGAGGAAGGGTATGCATTTCAACAAATCTTTCTCTTGCAGACATTTGTTTGGGGTTTAAATAGGAGAGGAAGACTTCAGGGCAGGGAAAGAAGTAGGCATAAATATTAAGCAGTCCCAGCCACAGGTGTGTTTTTGTGTTCTAGGAGGCTAAAAGACCTGGTCATTGTCTCAGGATTGGTCAGGTGGGGCCTTGTTAGTAAGTGTCATTGCTTCCTGGCAGGTGGTCTGTCCTGTAGAGGCTCTGCTATTCCTTTCTTTGGGGGGTAGTTTTGGTTGTAAACATGTTATCTCATAAGTCCTGTTCTTCTGGAATACAACCTGATTATAGAAGAAAGATGCAAATAAAGAAGACAGGTGCAAAACAGAGGCAAGGATACTAATCTTTTATGCTACTTTAGTTAATTCCTGGACTCTAGGAGGGAGATAGTGCTTTTCAGCAAAAGCAGCTTTTGAGTAACTGTTAGACTCACAGCTGGCCATGGGGCATAACAGGAGCCAACATCATGAGCTCTATATTTAATTCCTACAGCAAGGACCCATTAGGTTTGATGAACATTGAGGAAAGTTTTCTTTTTTTAATTAGCAATATTTTATTAGTATATAATAATTGTAGGAAGGGGTTTCATTGTGCTATTTCCAAACATGCATATAATGTACTTGATCATATTCATCCTTCTATAACTTCTTATCCCTCCCTTTCCTTTTCTCACAATTTTTAATCATTTTCATTATCCTATTTTTATGCTTGCATAGAATATATTTTAATTGCTTTTTAATAGCTTGAAATGATTATCCATTACAAAATTGTTGAAAAATCTTTCTGAAGCACATAGAGCATTAATCAGAGATTTGATTTCTGGAGCTACATTCCCTAGGTTCAAATCCAGGGTCTGTTTCTTTCTGGTAGACCCTGGGAGAGAGATTTTGTATTTCTTTGTCCCTTATGTTCTCACCTATACAGAGGATAATTATATACACTTATGTCTTAGGGTTATGTGAGAACACATACATGTATAATATGTAACTACTGTTATAGCCAGAAGTTAGCATATTTATTTATTATTCTCATTTCTTCTGAGAGAAGTCAAAGTAGTATGGATAAACTGGAAACAACCAGGGAATGGAATGGAAGGGAGTGTAGAACCCTGGGAATGCTACCACCACACACTCACACTCTCAGATGCCACAAGGGCACTACTCTGGAACATAGGACAGACAGAGCTGGTTCTTTAGGCTGAGAGCTGAGCCCCAGAAGAAGCAGGAGTGCTGAGGGAAGGAAAGCCTCAAGGGAAGTCATGCCTTAAAAAGGACTTAACTTTACACCCACTGAGAATCCTTTTTGACAATACATCCATGTCTATAACTAGAATTATTATCCTATCTCAACTGTCTCTCTTTCTTCGTTGACATTAGAGGTCAAACCACATCAGGGACTCATTAAGTTGGGTACTTTGTGCCTGTGACATTCCCTCATATCAAGCTCAATAAATGCATTTTTTAAGAAGGAGAAGTCTCAGGAAAACATTTTCACAATATCACAGAAATGATAGATTTAAAGATGGATGGTAAGTAATTATTAAAATCTGGAAGCTTATTTCCTTAAGTAAAATAATTACATCCTTAATATGGAAAGTAAAGAACAAAAGTAAAATATGAATCACAAACTGAATAAAATGCTGATTCAAATATCAACAAAGTGTCAAGAATCTTACAGTACAGAGAACATATAAAATCACTTAGAAAAACAATAGAATCCCAGAGACAAGCGATAATAGATAATCATTCTTTGAGTGATGAAACTTTAGGACAATAAATGTGAAATTCTTTGATAAACTTAGAAATCAAGGAAATAAAAAGCAAACACTGAAAAATATGTTTTTAGAGTATGTTGGCCTTCTAGATTACCAGGTTCCATGTTTGAGTGAGGCAGGAGAAATAAGTGCCTGAAGTTCAGAGGTAAGCACTGTGTTAGTGAAGCACTTGATTAAAAAGCAGCATGTTCTCTCTCATGTGTGGATTATAGACCTAAAACAAATGAAACAATATTATGGGACATGGGTCAGGGGAGGTTGAGCATGGGAAAGAGAAGGAAACTAAAAACTTGAATGTGGTTGATGTGCCCTCTGTACAGGAATGAATATAGAAATCTTAAACTGACTGGGACCACCATGGGAGGGGACTAGGGAGAAGTGAAGAGGACTAGAAGAGATGAACCAATGAGGGGTGTAATACATGTATGCATGGAAACAACACAAGGAAACTCCCTGTGTAGCTATGTTTATCTCAAACTAGCAAAAACTTCATGTTTTTCTTTTTATCTTTTGCTTTTTCTTTTCTACAAAATTCGAGAACAGGAGGGTGGAACAGGATCTGCCCTGGGGTGGGAGGGGGCAGGTGGGTGGGGAAGGGGTAGGAGGATGAATATGGTACAAATAATGTGTACACATGTATGTAAATGCAAAAATGATACCTGTTGAAACTGTTCCAGGAATCAGGAGAAGAGGGGTGAAGGATAACTGTGGAGGGGGTGAAGTCAAGTATGATATATCTGATACATTGTAAGAACTTTTGTAAATGTCACAATGTATTCCCACTCAGCACAACAATAAAGGAAAACACACACACACACACACACACACACACACACACACACACGCACTATTTTTTTTTCTTTCCTTTAAACTACACAAGTGCTCCATAAACTGCAACATATAGTAAGAAAGACAGGAAAGAAGGGGAGAGAGAGAGAGACAGAGAAAGAGAGAGAGAGAGAGAGAGAGAGAAGGAGGGAGGGAGGCAGGGAGGGAGGAAGGAAAGAAAGAAAGAAAGAGAAAGAAAGAAACTCCCTCTGACTTTGCATGCTTGTTCAAATAGCACATTCTGGTAAATAAGCAAGGATATGTTAAATAAGACACATCTCAGAAAAAGAAACATTTGGTAAAATGACTTCTTTGATCACACAAGTGTTTGCAAAACAGACAAAATCATCTGCAGAAAAGATGCCTGGCTTAAAAGGATCATCTGATGAAATCTGTCCTTTGTTTAAACAGATGTTCAAGGAAAACAGACATGTATATCACAATGACCCAAATTTCTTAAACTTGGGCTTTATCTCAAGGCATACATGTTTGGGCTTGATATCTCAGGCACACATGATAATGTCAAAACAGCAAAACAGCAAGAATTTTTGGATGTGTTAAAACACAGGGGAGCACTTATCCTAAGGCAAATTTAAACCCGGAAGATTCTCAAGCTTTTATCAGCTGTATCAATTAAGAAGACTTGGTTCCTATGAATCCCCAATTTATCAGTTCCAAATCCATAAGATACAATTAAAGGAGGGGTGACACAGCAAGAATTTTACAATACAGCTGGTCCAAAAGAGAAAGCACGCACAGAGATGAGGAGAGTTATGATAGGTAATAGACAGATATGAGAAGTGGCCACAGATGAAGAAAATCATTGTAATTAAACTTCCCAATTCTGAGGGTGACTAATGTAGGTTGAAATCAAAGTAGCCCATGAAGGCCAGGGAAGATCACAGGATGCTTTTAAGTTGCCACCCACCTAAAGCTCTATCCTTTCTTTACAGAAGAACAAGCCAGACCCTAAACATCAGGTAGGCTTGGAGCTGAGAATTTCACACAGATAGACCAAGGGCTGATAATTTCACATAGGTAATCTCTTTAATTTAATAAGACAAAGACCCAGGACCATAGCCTGCATCCAAAGGATCAGATGGACCTAGGACAAGGAATTCCTCAGTAAATATTCCAGCCCCAAAAGCTCATACTGTTATTCTC